CGCTGGAGGGGGGCAGTCACTGAGGCCTGAACCCACTGCACACGCTCAATAGGAAATGTGTACTTTCATTGTTGAAAGAACCATGGGAAGAAAACGATATTTTAATAAATGAAAGGGCTTAATAAGTATTATTTGCTAAGTAAAATCATATTTCCCTTGAATGTCTTGGGCCATGTATCAACTTCATTAACAAAGAAAAATCTGGCTGAAACGTTTAATCCCTTCAAATAATGGCAAAAAAAATTCTCAATATTCATCTGGGGAGGGGGGTGGGCATTTAGTAACTGGTGTGTGCAGAGCACTAGAAGGAGGCCCTGTGGAGGTATTTTGTCTCTGGTATCAAGAAGCTTTTTAAGGTACCTAATTTATTTTGTGGCTCGCTCCGTAGGATAAAAATGGTCTTAGAATTGCTAATCCAGTTGAGATGATTTAAATTACTCAGGGCTGCGGAAGGCTATCTGTTAAATTATCTGCCCATGCCCTCTCACACATTTGTGCTTTTAAATCACACAGAGTATTTTCTCTGTGCAGAATAAGGAACCCTCATTATAAAGCACTCCCAGCCCTCTCCGTGAATCATGCGGAATGGGTCATATATCTCCCCCACACTATCTGATGAAGCTTTCTGCTGGTTTCTTGGGTGGCCAATCACATGACAGATATATGACTGTGAGACAGGAACTGAAATAAAATTCCTATAATACCCTTAGGGGGAAGGGGGATTGTCACTGGTGAGCGTTTAAGTCAATGACTTAATTTTCTTGAAGCTTCCCTCCACCCTCACTTTGAGCTCGGAACTCAACACCCAAAAGAGCCGCTTCATTTATCTACCGAATCCGCGATACTTCAGGCTGCTATAGTTTTCCACATTGTCTTCCAAGGATTTCAATAAATGGTTGAACATCTATCCCGGTGGAGTTAACGTAATACTCTAATCAGCAGCCTCAAGAGTGCTTTACACGGTCGGACTCTATGAGACAGAAGGATTAAAAAGCAAAGCATCCGGTGTTTCCAGAAAGTACTCTTTTGATGACACTGCGGCAATGAATCTCAAGACCAGAGGGTGCACTCTCAGATCCCTGTTGTCGGTGGCTGTGAACGGCACACAAGATCCCAAAATCCTCCAGCCCAACCCCTACATCTGTCTCATCCACGTAACAGCAACACCAAGTGCAAGCAATGTTGCAAATGTGTGATTGCCACCCCAGAGATCACATCCAGGGTAAGAAATGCATTCCCTAGGGAGTAATTCCATGGCCCCCCCTCATGTGCATGTGTACTATTTCTCAACAAAACAAGTAAATAACCTGAAACCATTTTTTAAAACTTAGGGGAGTCTGGGCGGCTCAGCTTGTTGAGCCGCCAACTCTTGATTTCGGCTCAGGTCATGATCTCGTGTTCGTCAGTGTGAACCCCGAGTCCGGCTCTACGCTACCAGTGTGGAGCCTGCTTGGGACACACTCTCTCTCTCTCTCTCTCTCTCTCTCTCTCTCTCTCTCTCCCCCCCCCACCCCCTCCTGCTTGCGCACATGAACACACACTCTCTCTCTCTCAAAATAAATAAATAAGCTTTTTATTTTTTTTTAAAAAGAAGTAATTCCACGGTGGTTTTCATTTCTGACTCCTAACTCAGTAGCTGGCCATTCCTTTCTTCAAGTTCCTCAGACCAAAGCCTTAGAGTTATCCTGGACTCCTTTCTTTCTCGCTCAGCATCCAGTGTGTCCGGAAGCACTCCTGGCTTGACTTTCAAAACGTTTCCAGAATCCAGCCACTTCTCACCACCTCTACCATGTCTATACTAGCCCGGACTACCACCCCCTCTCCCCTGGAGTCCTGCAGGAGCCTGGAACTGGATTCCCTGCTCCACCCTCCGCCCTTATTGTCTGGTCTCCACTCAATGGCCAGCGTAATCTTGTTACCACTGCAGCCAGAACATCTCACTCTTCGGCTCAGAACTCTGCCATAGCGCCCTTCGCCTGGCCCTCGAACAGAGGAAAAGCCAGGCTTCCGACAGGGACCTCCTGGGCGCCACAGGGTCCCCGCTCCGGTCCCACCCCACATCTGAGTTAACTCGTCCTCACCTCACTCCCTCCACAACACCCGTGCTAAGCTCCACGATACTCTTCCAACAGGCCAGAAACATCCCCATCATGGGGCCTTTACTCTTTTCATCTTGCCGCCTGGAACATTCTTCTCCCAAATAGCAAACGTGGCTGATCCTTCCCTCGCCAATCTCACCCCAAAGGCACATTCCAGGTAGGGCCTTCCCCGCTCACTCCTGCCAACCACAACTCACAACTCCTGGCATGCCTCACCCCTTCCCCTGCTTTGGCCACTCTACAAAATGTACCACCTGACAAGCCATGTATTCATTCATTCATTCATTCATTCATTCATTCATTCATTCATTCATTACTGTGCCTCTCTCCACTAGAATGTAAGTGCCCTGAGGGCAGGAATTCCCATCTGCTTTTTGGCTGCTGCATTTGCAGCACCTACGAAGACACTAGCTCACTACGGGTGTTCAATGAGTATCTGCGCAATGAATGAACACATCCTTGGACTATGTGCCTAGGTACCTGAGAACTCTAGGCTTCAATAAGCTTATCTTCAGACCTTTCTCAACACACACACCACAATAACATCTTCAGAGTCTGTAGCAGGCTGTGGTAAAGGAGCGAACAGCAGACCTTACAGGATTTCTGGAAGGCTTTTGGGTCAACTTCCACACTTGAGAAGGTGAGGTTACGTCAAGGTTCACAGGACAGGCCCATGTCAGCAGGCTAGAGGGCCGGAAACTGGTGTTTCTCTGTACATGGACTTCGGTCTAGTCTGGGGGAGCAGGGGCATGGAGCCGTCCTGAGAAGACAGAACGTTCTGGTGTCCAGTCCATTTCTGCCTCAAACACCAACCACACACTCCATGTCCAACACTGAGATTTTTCTCCTACAAAAACAGACACTCCTTCAAACCCAAGTATCACTGCAGAAAAGAAACTTTCCAATGGAAACTTGGGAAGTAAGAGGAATGTACTATAGGTCCAAAGATTCATTGTTTGATTGGAGATTGGTTTGGGGTTAAAGTAGAAAGAGAAATTTGATGGCAATACGCTTCCTGAGGGTTCTAATTTTTTTTTTTTTTT